AGTTTGGTAATCACTTACGAAAAGTCCTGCGTACGCCTCTGACCAGCTATAATAACTCAATGAGTTGCAAAACCACTTGTATTTGCATGAGTTGTCTCTCGTACTAGCAGTGTCTATATCAAACAAAAAGCTAATCAATTTGTTTTTCAATATGAATGTCCAATTAGGAGAGGCCTTTGAGATTTGCCTGGAAGCTGGTGATGAAATTGAGGGACTTTCAGATATTTTCTTTGTCATGAGGATTTCAGGGTTGAGAATTTGTGTGACATGATGATTATTTGGTAAAATCTTCAGTTCTTTGTAGAAACAAAAGGAATGTTATGAAAATGAATATTGTTGAAGTAGTAATAAATGTGGGAATCTGCATGTTTCTCAATCTGATTGATAACACTATTGAGTTAGTTATATGAGTCTAAGTGCAATAGGTATTTGTAGGGGAAGTAGGTGTAGTAGGTGCAGTGTGAAATTAGTGAACATTCAAAGTCATCTCTTAGATAAATAATTGGCCATGCTCAAGAAACAAGACAAGGAGTCAAAGTCTTGTATTTTTCCTTACTACTCCCTCCGTCTCGATTTATGAGCAGGTGTTTGATTCGACACAAAATTTAAGACAAAAATAACTTTTTTGGAATTTATGGTCTAAAATAAATTATAAATATTTTTGTGATTATAAAGTAGGAAATTTAAAGTTAAATTATTTTTAAATAATTAAGTATGACATTCTTTTTTGAATAAACTAAAAGAGAACTTATGACACATAAATTTGGACATAGGGAGTACTTGTTTGATCCTTCTCACCTTTAATTTGAATTTACATCCTTTTGCTAATTGTTAAATGATATTACAACACGCACGGACTTAAATTATCAAGCAAATAGTGTGACATAACTGATAGAGCTTCTTACACAGAGAAGGTAGCCTAGTTCTTTGGCGACAATAAATGAGAACAAATCTTGTCAAATGAAAAGCACTAAAGTGTCTAAAGATAAAAATATTCCTATCTGTTGCTTTAATTATGTTTTTAAGTCTTGAAAACAAAATAAGAACACGATTAGATTACTTTTATGATATAGACGGAGATATCTTTTAAAAATAAAAGTATTCATCTATCAAATATGTGCCATTTTTGTACCAAGGGTGCCCGGGATGTTGTTTCTTTGTAGACCAAGTGGGGGCAATATAATGTTTTAATTTTGTTCTTTCATTGTGTTGCTGCCAATAGATATTCAATTATTTACTTCAATAATTGTACGGCAAAAAGATAAAGCTAGCAATATTACCTATAACACTAAAATTGCTGTGTGCTTGGCAACTTTCTTAGCAAAATCAGCATTATAAAAGAGAACTCATAATGACAGCGCTTGCAACCTTATGTAACCTGAATTGAGATGTTGACGCCAGAACCTATTTTATTTTTATCGTTTAGCTATTTTTGTATTCCCTTTAAGAACTTCGATTCATCGTTCATTAATGTTGGGTGTGCGAATAAATTTTTATATTAGTAACTGAAAAAAGAGAGCCTACATATAAGGTGTAGAAATCTCTTAATCGTGTGAGACATTTTGGAAAAAACTATGCGGGTTTGGCTCAAAGTAGACAATATAACACCATGTTAAGAGTATTTTTGGACTGGTTATTAGCCCAACAATTGGTATCATAACCTAGGTTCGGCATGCAGAGTATGGCGATGGCGGAATGATGATGCGGGGCTCAATTTGCTTACTCTCACCAGCTTGGAGACGCGCACACAAGAAGAAGTTAGTAGCGGGCTTCGTTTGCCATAAATACTCTGACGATGTGAGTGGTACACACTAAATCTCGAAAGTTGACCCGTGGATCGTCGTGATGGGCCACATGAAATTTAGTTCGAGGAGGAGATTGTATAGAGATCTTATAATAGTGTGATCTTTTAGAGGAAACTGTACATATTTGACCCAAAATCGACAATATTTACCATGTTAAAAATAGAAATTTTTACCTTCTATAGCAAAGGTTGATACCTTATTTATTTTAAATAAATACCATTTTAAAAAATTATATTCCATAGCTACCTTTTGACTTTTATAGCCAAATATCAATTTATGGTCACCTCCTACCCTTAAGCCATAAAACACGCTTTGTTTTATTTTTCTCTCTCATTCTTTCAAATTTTTCTCCATCCTCTCTCTCTCTTAGCATCAGTTTTCTCCATGAATACAAACTCATGGATTCTCTCTCATCAGTTCCTCCGTCGATCGTTCTTCCTCTTGAAAAGCTTCTCCGCCACAACCACCTTCAGCGGCGAATCTCCGCTCTTTCTTCTCACGCCAAGCCCAAGGGTTGCCATTGCTGTTGCCACATATAACCAAACAAATACTGTGTGCATCTCCGGCAGATTTCAAACATCTTTTGCAGCACAAGAGCATTAAATTTGGCGATTTTGAGGACACTGAATTTCGGGAAAATGCTACAAAGCTATAATTTGGTTGTTGTGTGGTCGTTTTGAATAAAGGTTAGATGTGATCTGGTATCTTCATTTTAGTAGATGCGATTGGTTTGTTCTCTCATAACTTTGCTTTCTATTTCTTTCAGACAATAAGACATTGTCAGAACCTCAAGTGGATGCATCAACTGTCGCTATAGGATGTTGGAGAGGCCGGAATAGTATCACAGTAACGGGAACAATGACGTTTCGATTCAGAATCGCGGTCCTCTCGACGAGACGACATTAGGGTTGTTCTTGAACAAAGACGATGGAGTTTGGGGCTGAGCAACTTGAAGATTCTGTTACCTTTTTTTTAAGTGTATTTCAATGTATCTCGCTGTATTTTCATGTATTTCATTGTATTCATTGTCTTTTTTTCATTGTATTTCAGTGTATCTCGCTGTATTACATGTATTCCATGAATGTATTCATATATTTTTCTTAATTAATATAATTTATGTATTCAAATGTATATATGTATTCAAATGTATCTGCAATATGTATTTATATGTTTTTGCACTATAGATGACCTGCTATACTTCATGTGTTCAATATATTTTTATGTATTTAACTATATTCAATGTAATTATATAATTTCTCTGAAGATTGCTATATTTTTTGGGTATTTTTCAGTTGAGAATCTTTTTTATAACTGGAAATACAAATTTGGTGTATTATAATTGAGTTTGTTGAGTTATATTAGGAGTCTATTATATTAATTGATTCATTTTCCGTTTAAAAACAGCTGAATAGACCATGAATTGCGCTATTTACGTTACTGTATTCACTAATACATATCGTGAGTACAGTCGAATACAATAATCTATCTAGTTGTGATCCCCTGTTTCACGCCGTGAATACAGTCGAATACAATAATCTGTCTAGCTGTAATCCCCTATTTCACGCCGAGAAATGCTACTGTATTCATGAATATAGTAGCTTAAATACATCGAATACTCTAAAATACCTGAAAACATAGCTATATGATGTAATATAGTAAATGATAGCTACAACTAGCTAATAATCACTAAACAATAGTGGTTTGTGAAAATTTCTGGTAAAAATATTCTTGTGGGTTGATTGAGCCCAACAATCAATTACTAGAAATCTAATAGAGACATTTAGATTTAAACAAAGAATATCTTTACTTTCTCAGTAAAGTTAGTGGCTTGTCCGGCCCACTCTCCACAAATTTTACCGATGTTGGTTTTATAATCATTTATACTGTATATTCTGTGGCTCATTAATTTCAGAGTTAACTTTGAAGTAGCACACATTCACGATTTTAATGCCTTCTTTGAGATGTACCTATCCCACCACCAATTGTGCCTTAAACCCAAAACATCCGTGGGACAGGCAGCACAAAGTGTTGCAAAAAAAAAATTGGATGGTTATGGAGAATAAAAGGTTTAGCTTGACGCGTGTCAAAGACACTGTTCTTAAGGATATTTCGCTAACATCGAGATGAATAATATTAGGCGTATTCCCCAGGATTCAACAAGCTCGTCTAGTATGACTAGGAACAGAAACAACAAAGATTTATGAGAAGAAAACCCAGCACAAAGGAAAGAAAGAAAAGTGTTTTCTGTTTTCACACTCCACATGAACACAAGTTGATAGGTTTATATATAAACCAAAGACTTAAATCTGAACGTTGAGAATCATTAAGAATTCAATGCCATGAATTCAATAAGAAAACTGATGCCTGAGAATTTGAAAACGTAAGGCACAGAATTAAATGCCATGAATTCAATAAGAAAACTGATGCCTAAGAATTTGAAAACGTATCACTGTGAATGGGCAAAGAATTAAAGGAAATAGGAAACTGTTATAATTACTCTTTTCAAAAGTTGAAGGAAATCATTATCACACTTAATATTAGCAAATGGACAAACCTTTTGGTCAATTTCAAGATTATAAAAAATGTAACTGATTTCAATACCTATTCAATGTTCATAAACATCGAGATATTAAAATATTCATTCTTTTTGAGATATTAAAATATTGTATTTTTTAACACAAAGCTCCTCCCTCTCATCAACGAATTTTTTTTATCCGCACCCAATAATTTTTATACCAAATTAAATTTTAAATAACTTATCATAATTCGATGACAACATCAAAGCAAAAGGAGGCCATGTAAACAGCATCTATATAATTATGCATTTTCTCCTGAACAAAAAGATTAAATGTTTTCATTCTTTTTCCTTTTAGATTCTTTTGGACTGAGCTATCTATGATCATTCTCGACACAAGGGACTCATTACAAAAAAAGAATCGACTCCAACTTGTAAAAAGGTGATCATAAAGATTAGTGAAATCATTATCGACGTTGCTCAAACTTTTGAATATCATTATCGTTGTATGATTAAGTGAATCAAAGTGAGAAGTAATGTGTTATATATAATTAAGTAAGGGTTAACAATAGCAACGGTGAAAACACGTATCATGTTACTATTGGTTAATGTAGGCATCGGGCGCGCGTCAAAATGCATGTCATTATAATTAATGACAATAGATATTTTTTGACAATGGATTGATAACAAATGCCCTGAAACCATCACTCATCAAATTCATTTACTAAGTACATAGTTATATTACACAAGACTGACTATATATAAAGCATGCACGCAGCCTGCAGGATATATAGAATAAAACTAAGTTACATTAACTGACAAGCCTATATAGCTAGATAACTCACGCTATTAGTGCATCATCATATTTGACAATATATATATAGAGAGAGCGCTGAACTAAAAGCAGGTTATATTAAGAAGTACAAACCAAATAGTATACTACTACTACTTAGTAGGGCCACTTAATATAAAGTTGGGTTGTAGAGCTATAGAAGCCTAATTAATAGGAAGCCTGAAGAGGTAACGAAGAAATTAGAGATTTGTAAGGTTTAAGTCCTTGGCCGCCATATCTGCTTGTGAGTTGACCGATGGGTGCATCATGGTGGGGTGAGGGAGGTGTTAGTGTTCGTTCCTCTCTTCCAATATAGTTACTATCCATGTGATCATCATTAGTAGTAGTAGAGGAGGTGATAACAATTTGACCCTCCTCATCAGCTGGCTTTGGAGTTGGAGGTGATACCATTCTTTCCTCTCTTCCGTAGTTGTTACTATTCATGTGATCGTGATCTTGACAATTAGAGGAAGTGACAATTATCTGTCCCTGCTCATCAGCTGGCTTTGGTGCTGGTGGTGGTATATGACCGTGCTTCCCAAATCTTTCTTGGTTGTCTGATGAAGTGCTCGGAAGCAAAATTAGCAGCTCATTATCACTAATAACATTGCTTGTAATTGTAACTAAGAGCTCACTGCTTTCTCTACCATGCCTGCGGCTTGTGACTTGATCGATTTTCGGATCATGTTTGGGTGCAGGAGGTGGAAGATGAGCGCGTCGTCCAAGTCTTTCTTGGTTACTTGGTGAAGCTGATTCTCGGGATGGAGGTGGAGGTAGTGGAGCTGGCCTTCCATAACCAGATTTTACCACCTTCTGCTCATGTTGCTTTTCTGTAGCACCGCCAAACATAAAGTTAGTCTACGTACGTGATTCACTTTTAACTAGACAAGCCAATGAATTATGTGCATGCACAAGGAAATAAAACAAGATTATAAATTCTAGGGTTAATTACTCAACACCGGAGGCATCGCTAGGAACGCGAGTATAGTACTGTGTATATAGATCAAATATGTGCTAATTCTTGAACACTCTTAACTACGTAAATTCCGATTTTTTCCACGGTAGTTAACACCATATAGATGGTTTAATTTAGAGGAAAATCAACTCTGCAAGAGGTTGAGATTTCTCTCACACCCCACACATGTATTAGGTAGATTTAAAGCGGGTCAAAGGGATAATAAAACAAGCTCTGCTTTTGTTAATCCAAAAAAAAGAAGAAAAATCTCTGCTTTTGGCTTAAATTATGTATACATATATAAAAATAATTTTAAATGTATATGTAATCAATAACAACTAGTCTGAACCCAACAATTCTAAATTTTAAAACCTCTCTGTCCCTAACAAGTATAATTACAAAATGGAAGCAGCAATATTACATCATCTCCTCCAGATAGCTTGAATAGGGCTTTATCACCACGTTTCTAAATTAAAAAAATACTCCTATGTTTCAAAACACCCAGGAAATAGGAAACTGAGGAAAAGAACGAGAAGATACAGGCCAGCGCCATTAATGAAATATAATACTATAAATAAAAATATAGAGTACCATGCCAGTAATGTTATATTGATATCTTCACGTGGATTAACTGAAGAAATGATACTAATGTTAAAGTAAAAAAAAAGGAGTAGAACTGCTCTGTTTCCATTGGTGTTAAATACGAAGTGTTTTGGCAAGAATATCGTTGTATAAACAACAAAGTAACTAGCAAAAAAAAAGATTAGTACCTAGCAAAGTTCTTGCTTCAGATCTTATGAAAACGAGGAAATAGATAAGAAAGAAATTAGCTCTCATGAAGAGAATCATTTTAGTCATCGTTATTTTGTTTCTTAAAACAGACCTCTTTCAAGTCTCTATTTATAGACGAAAAGGAGAAAAGCTCAAGTGCGCAGTGCATTAGCACCAAACTTTCTTTTTTGAAATGATGTTAACTGTCGTTAAGTAGAATAATACTTTTATATTGAACAATCTATGATAGGATCTAATTCTGCAAAAAACACATTTTTAATTAGTCTTATTGCGTATATACTTCATATGTTTCACCTTATTTGTCACTTGTTATCTTAATAAAATAATTATAGTATACCATAACATTTCTGTGATTATAACTAGGGGTGTTCATGGTTCGGTTTGAATCGGTTTTTTCCTAAAAAGAAACCAAACCAAGTAAGTCGGTTTTTCAAATATTAGAACCAAACCAAACCAAGTAAGTCGGTTTTTCTCGATTCGGTTTATGTCGGTTTTTCGGTTTTTTCGATTATTTATCGGTTTTTTCTTAAATATAAGAAATACACTACCAAACACATATTCCGGCGACCACAGTTTCAATGTAACACTATCAAATCAATTGTCCTTTGAGAAATCTATTATTTACCAAAATATATTGATGATAATTGAATCAAATAGTGATGAATAATTTACGGACTCAATTAAAAATATGTTATTTTTAACACGAAATGGATTCTTACACTAAACAAAAGAAAACTACCAATCAACTAGAATGTAAAGGTAAAGAACTATATTAAAAGTGCAAACTATTAACATTTACCATAATTTTTTTGAAACTTTGTATAAAAAAATACATATATGTAGGTGTAATAATAAATTTGAAATAGCTACTCCTATAGTCGGTTTGGTTCGGTTTTTTTCTTATTAAAACCAAAACCAAACCAAATTTGATCGGTTTTTAAAATTCAAAACCAAAACCAAACCAAACCAAAAAGTATCGGTTTTTTTGGTCGGTTTGATTTGGTTTTCGGTTTGGTTCGGTTTTTTATGAACACCCCTAATTATAACATTTTTTAAATTTGTAGTCTTAAACATGTCATAGTATTTGTGTGACAGTAAAAAAATTTCATTTAGCAAATATATGAATATTGTATTCTTTTTGGAACAGACTAGTATGAGAAGGGAGTAATAAGTTAGGATAAAGGCTAATATGCTGATTAATTCACCTTTTTGTTTTCTTTCTTTTTATTTCTGAAAAGAATTTAATTTTTATATTAATAGTGTAAAGAATTTTATACAAAAATTCAATTCAGATAACAAGTTATTTACTGTATTTTTAGATTAATATATAAGCATTTAACATTATACAATTGTCAGCGCACTAAAGTTAAACTCATTAGTGGTCACTGACTCACTAGTCATCGGTCTTCCTCACTCGTTTTTGAGTTATGATTGAATTTAGTGTACGAGCAAATGCAATGCATGAAAACAGCCACCGTTCGAGTCAATTAGCACGTGAAAATTACTTGATTTTTACCCTGTGATTCACTGTTGTATATCAATAATTAATATCGAGCACTTTAGGTGAATTAAAACATCCGTACAAATATTCACTGTTGTTTATGAATTTTTAATTTCGACCACTTTAGGTGATTTAGAACATCGTACACTGTTCTCTCGATTTTCTCTGTTACGCCTATGTTAGGTCCAATTCAATCGACCTATCTTCTGAAAAGCAAATTCAGTTGGTAAATTTTATTGAAGGTCATGAATCTATACACTGGTCCTTGGTGAGGCAACTTTAAAATATACATTTAAAAGAAAAAAATTCATAAATTCCAACAAAACTTGTACAAAATCCCTGTAAACACTCTTAAATTTCGCGAACAATCTTCAAACTAAAGCATATTTCTTGAATACTAGTAATATATTTAACCAAAAATGTTAGTATATCATGTGTACTCACATAACCTATTCATAGTTGTTGATCTCAGTTTTCACCAAAGGATCGGATATATAGCTCAATAAAAGACAATGGTGCACAAAGTATCACGCATTAATGCAGGATTTGGGGAAGCGCCGTACCCCTAGGGGTGTAGTGTAGGCAGTTTATCCTAATGCATGTATTAGTGGCTGCTTCTACGGCTCGACCGTGACCTATAGCTCAATGTTTCCAAAGATATATAGCTGATGATAGACTAGAATTACGTATTTTAGTCGCTTATTACACTCTAATTTACTGCATTTTAATTGAGTTTGAGCTTTAATCGCTAGTGTACGTTTTGCACTAAATGTGTGCTTTATGCCTTGTAGGAGTGATTCCAATCTTTGTAGATGTTATGGAATGAATTCCAGCTTTTCTGGAGCTTTGAAGTCTGAGTAAAAGCCCAAGGATTATATTGGGATCGTGTTCGGAGATCAACGAATGATAGTGCACTTTTCGCTCGAACATGCATACTGCGCATTGTCCAGTAAAATGTACATAACTTTTCGCTCAGAAATCTGTTTGGGCTCCACAATATATCGTTTGAAAGCTATTTAAAGGGCTACAACTTTCATGTTTTATATTTTTTCCAAATTCCCATAGTCGCGGCGCATAGGGCGGTGCGTAGCGCACCGCGGCTGTGTAAATTGATGTTGCCCTCAAATTGCATGCTCTCTGAAGTTCCCCACAAGCACACCGCGTGGTGCGCCTGTGCAATTTTTACAGAGTTATTTTCCTATTTCGCACAGGAGAAAGTGTTTTCGTCTGGGCCCGACCCTACTTGGTATAATACATGTAAAAACGTTATTTTTGTAACTTTGGACAAACTTTTGACCTAGGGAAAGCAGAGAGCCGCCGTGGAGGCCGGATTTCATGTTTTCTTCCACCAAACTCAGTAATTCTTATGTTTCTTTGTATGATTTGTTGTTTTGCTACCATGTCTATGTGGAGCTAAACTTCACGTTCTAGGGTTGTGGTTCTTTCATGACTATTGTTATTCGAATATTGATTTTGCTTTCTTGATTTATCATATTAATTTATTTATTCAATCTTGCGCTTAATTATTTGATTTCTTGATCACCAATTGAATATTATCTACGAATCTAGAGTTGAACTCGAAAGTGGAAGTTCTTGAATGCTTATAGGATTGTGTAGAGCAAGTTTTTGAACCTGGGCATCGGGGAACGTATTCGCGGTTAGGATAGATATATACCTAATTGCCTTGCTTGGTTGATTTACAGGAATTATAAATGTGTTCTTGTTATTTCTAATTCTATAGACATATAGGTGTTAGGTTAGCTTGAATAGGCGAGTAAGAACTCGACAGATTCTTATGAGCAATATTAACCATGTTAACAAATAACCTAGATAAATTAGTTAGTCAATTCAATCGAAGAATACAATAGGATTGTAAGATACATTGGCTGATGCACATGGGCACTTGTGGGTGCTTAAGCACCCATTAACTTTGACCATATTTTGTAGATTTATATAGGTAATTATACAAATATTTATATAAATATTGAGTGAGCACCCATAAGTAAATTCATTTTTCCTCTTCTTTTGAAGTCTTTATCGGCAAACACCCATAACTTTAAAATTCTGGATCCGCCACTGGTAAGATAGCCTATAACCCTAGATCGTTTTCATCACATTGATAACATAAAAAGCCGCTCCTCCTTTGTTCAGAGTTCATTATTTGCTTTCTTTATTTTAATTAATTTAGAATCAAATATTTCTAGGTCTAATTCTTGTTAGATAGTTAGGATAGTCTAATTTAGTTAATAGTTAATCACAAGTTCTCGCGGGGTTTGACATCCGACTTTTAATCACTTTATTACTTGACGATCGCGTATACTTACGTGTGCGTTCAATAACTCAATGTTTCAATCAAAATTTAAGTCATTAATGTTGATTCCTTTTTTTCCCTCAAAGATATGGCATCAGAGATTAGAATAAAAGTTCAATTAATGGAGATCTGCCATGCTCCACATATAGGTACTTAAAGTAGTAAAGCAAAAGTTATAGCACTAAAGCTTAAAAAGAGATATGATGGGCCAACCGAACATCATATTACATGACATGCAAAGGATTAGGAAGACGCTAATTATATTACTAATAGTTTATGTCAAAGATACTATGTTGATAAACGCTAAGATACTAGCACATTAATTAACTATTAATTTTCCTGGTCATTCGTGGGATACCTGGGCAAATGAAATGCTAACAGGGAAATAATTAGGCATATCTACAATCAAAGTGATATATACTGCAATTAGTACTAGATACCAACTCCACTACAACATAAAATGGGAAGTAAATAATAAATTTACTCTGTGGTTTAATTTCCCCACCAGGCCATTTACTAAAGCATACGCAATCACCACTTTGAAAGAATTAATTCCAAATGTGGAAGAAATACTCAAGTAAAAGCTGCTTTTTGGAATTCCCTTTTGCGTTGGATATTTGTGGTCCTTCTGCACTATACTACAACTTTGGAGAGGAAATATTATGGCCTTCATTTTTCAGTCAAAAAGATACACAACAACTACCTAGCTAGCTAGTGATCAATAATTGTTATTTTGCGCCTTTATGTATTACTAAAGAACTTGGTTCTTTGTCTTACCCTTTAAGCATAAAGTAAAAGTAAGCAGTAAAGTAAACACATCAATTTTTACGTCAAAAATCATCAGGCTCAAAAAGTATAAAAACCACGATCTACTACGTAGGATTTTCAACTTCAACTTCACTAGAACAATGAGTCAAATGTGTCGATTACAAATCTGTAACTCAATACTCTCTAGTACTCCTACTACAGCTATTTGGTTTACAAGTTACTCTAACTTGTAAAATAAACACTCACTCCAACTCACTAATTGTTTATGACACTTTGATTACAACTCGATTTTCTAAAACACATTTACTAGACTGACTCAAGAAGAACACAACACTGGTACTCGACTTGAGTGTGAAAAAATGCAGTTCTTCAGTTGATGTGCAAAAGGATGATCCCAGCAGTCCAGAAAGATAGCATTTAACTTCCCTGGACTCCGAGATCTTCTAGGAGTCCTATGGATAGTCAGCTTCTCGTTTGATAGGACTCCTACTATTCCAAGGACTCCACAAGTCA